TAATTAATGCCCAAGCACCGGCGCTGCCTGGCCTGGTGGCCACATCCTGTGCATGTGTGGCTGCAGGCACCCCACGGAGGTGGTCTGCAGGGTGCTTTGCAGGGAGGTTTGGGGGTGGCTGCCCGGGGGGGGTAGGGATGAGTGTCCCCTCCCTGGCTGTGACACTCGGCCGCCTCTGTGTACCCGTCTCCCATGTGTGGCCCCTTCTCCCGATGTAAGTGCGACTTCACCGGCTGTGTGGCTGCTGGTGAGCTGTGATGCCTCTGACTTCTCCAGCAGAGACCTGGTGCAGGACATGATCTGGCCCAGCTCTTGCTGCCTGCGTTACCCTCGCTGTGCGACAGGTCTGAGGTCTGGCCGCGTTGCATGGGCCATTACAGACCCTCTGGGCATCCATCTGAGCGTGGATGGAGATGCTCCAGGGGTGGAGAGGTGCTGGTGGAGATGCTCCAGGGGTGGAGAGGTGCTGGTGGAGATGCTCCAGGGGTGGAGAGGTGCTGGGCTGCCTCTTGCCAGGCAGTGTTCCCGTTTCACTACTGCAGGTGTTTAGGATGGCACTGCCATGAGCTGGAACCTGGTGGCCATTCCTGGCAATGACCAGGCACTTGCTTCTCTTACCTGACTTTTATTTTCCTCCAGTGTCTCCAAGTGGTTCATCTCCCTGCGCCTGGGCAGGGTGGCCTCATCTCGCTGCTGGCGTTGCCTCCACGCACGCTCCTTGGCCGTTGTGGAGGGCGCTCAGATGGGGGGCCAGGCAGCTCCAGGGAGCAGCAACCCCCCGGCTGAGGGCACGCTGCCTCTGGAGCGAGGGGCTCGGAGGGCGTCCCGGCTCTCGGCACAGCGAGGCGGCCTGCGACCCAAGTTACTTGAAATCTTGGCAATATGCTCTCTCCTTTTCCTTCCTCTTGAGCTTTCTGCTGAATGTTTCACATCCTCTTTGTTTTAAGACAGGTGCGAGGGGAGCATAACTCTTTGTGCACCGGCGAGGAGCGAGGCGGAGGGGCAGCTTGGACGGGGCCACAGCGTGGTTACACGGCAGGGAGGAAGGTGCAGGAGGGAGGAAGATGGCAGGAGGGAGGAGGACCCTTCCGCAGCTCTGGGCAGAAGCGTTCTCCTGTTCCCCACTGTCCAGCTTGGCCCCTCGCAGCCCCCACGCTGCCGACACTGGCACGGCAGGAGTGGTGTGCAGGGACGAGGAGGCTGGTGTAAAGGCATGTAAGAAAGTCTCCCTCTGGATTTGGTGGAGAAGCTGTTCTGCACCTACCCTGCTTTTGCCCTCTGTGAAGGTATGGAGAGAAGTGGTACTGATTCACAGTGCTTTTCCCTTCATTTAAAAAGAAATTCAGGGGTTGAAAATAATCCTCATTTGCTGAAGGGCTGGTCTTGCTAAATATGCTGAGATGCCAAGGGCACCTCTGGAGTGTGTGTATGTATATGTGTGTGTGTGTGTGTATATATATATATATACATGTATACTGGTTTCCCCACCCCGGTGAGTATCTGTGCCTATTTCTATTGTCTCTCTTTGCTGCTTGGCTGGTATTAGGAGTGACCTGGTTTTCAGCAAAACATGTCCCTCTTTTTCCCTTATACACCATACATAAATTATTCAGAAAGTTTAGCAAATGCAAAGACCTCAAGTGAGACATAAATAATGAACTTAAAGCTTGGATGGTGTGAAACTTGTTCTCCAGTGAAGGAGCTGTGGTGACCATCAGTACCAGGGTGGCGGAAGCTTTTTGCCCTTTCGCGTGTCCCCTGTGCCTGCGCAACGGGGCAGGCAGGGAGCTGCGTCCCAGCTGGCGGCCGTTCCTCGTACGGTGGCTGCCCGTGGTGCCGGCATCGCCTCCAGCCCCTCTGCTTTGCTTGGGGGGGGTTATCAAGCCCAGTCGCCCAGATGGTGACGCAGAGATGCTTTGCAGCTTGCTTTGGAAAACGAGCAGTGCACGTAACGATGGAGGATGTGGGGGTGCGGGTGGCTGGCAGCCATCGCCTCCCCCTGCGCCGCTGCGGGGGGCTGAGCGGGGCCACCCTCCTCCTCCTCATCCTCCTCCTCCCCATGGCTCCCAGGTCTCCCCGTGCTGACAGGCTCTGTGTCCCAGTTGTGAGCAGGACCATCCTCCTCCTCCCCATGGCTCCCAGGTCTCCATGTGCTGACAGGCTCTGTGTCCCAGTCGTGATGGGGCTCCAGGCTGCTGTCTCCTTTGGGTGCTGGGGCTGCGCTCTGGTTCCCTGCCACGTTTCTGCTGTTGTTTTGTTTTGCTTCTTCCTCCAACTCCCAGGCACTAATTTGAAGCCACTGAACTCGTCCACGCCCCGGCCGCTGCTGCGCTTGCACGTCGCAGGCTGCAATTTGTGCGGTGGGGCCGGGCTGGGGCTGGTGGGGGCTCTGCAAAGCCCTCCCCTTGAGGGGCGCGAGGGCCAGACCCTGTTCGGGCTGTGCTGTGCCCCAGTGGGACTGTACTGTGCCCAGTGCTCCCGTGGGAAGGGTGGAGGTGCCCGTACTACTGAAAGACACAGTTGGGCTGGTTTGGGTTGTTTTTCCCTTGGCTGTTTTTTGGCCAGGTCACTGCAAAGCTGTGGCTGGGCGATGGGGAGGGGCAGGACCAGAGGGGGATGCAGGGAAGGGGTGATGCTGGGGTGGACCTGGGCCCCTACGGTGGTGGGGAGCTCATCCGTCCGTGCTGGCTTCCTGGGGCAGATGCTGTGGCACCAGCAAGCAGGTCTCGCGCTGGCTCTGCTCTCCACCAGCGTGCCCTGTGCCGGCTGTGGGGAGGGGCTGGGGTTTGCCCCCTGGTTTCCAGCTGCGCAGTCCGGTGTGTGCAGGCACGCTTGGCGTGAGGCTGTTGGAGCACACGCAGTTGGCCTTTGGTCCGTGCATGCAGCGCGTGATTTTAATGAGCTGCCCACTGGGACGATCCGTGCTTGCCCCCGTAGC